CCGGTAGTGTTGTGTCCAATCTTGGTAGTCGTAAGCAATTGCTATGTGTTTCCCCCTTGAGATCCTTAGGTGGTGTAGGAGGTGGTGGGGTGTGAGGGTGTTGTTAGTGGTTGGGGTGAATGTTAGGGTTGTATTTTCTGTGTTGTACGGTTTGTGGTGGCTTAGGAAGCTAAGGTCGTAATGGGTTTTGTGATAGCTCTGTACAAGTTGGAGTTAGAATTCCTGTTTCTGCTGTCGGGTCCTGCTTCTGGAGCTTTTGTGGTGTGTGTGGATGGTGGAGGGTGCTAACAGTGTCGTTGTGACCTCTAGAGCTGTGGGTTAGTTCTATTCTTTAAATAAAAGTAAGGGCTGCACTGAATAAAACTCAGTGTAAAACAAATAGTCCAGATAAAATAAATGGATAAAAAGTGAAAGTCTTATCTCGAGGCGTCTGTTGAGGTCGTATGTAGTAATAATATTTGGTCCAGAGTAATTGTCCTTATTGATATCCTCCTTATGGATCCGCTCATATGAAAGAGATAAGGGATAAATAGAGAGCCAAATAGTGTAATATATTCAACAGTGGAGATGATAAAAAATATAAAAATCTAGAATGCAAACTCACATTTGAAAGAGCTGTGGTGTGGAAGGCGTACAGCGGTTTAATCCCCACTTATGGGATATAGATAGAATCCTATCCATTTGAAAGAGCTGTGACCCGCTCTGGTGTGGAAGGCGTACACCGGTTTAATCCCCGCTTATGGGGAATTCTATCTATATCCCATAAGCGGGGATTAAACCGCTGTCTTCATTACAGAAGGATATCAATATCCTTCTGGAGATATGGTCTTCATTACTGCATACAATACTCCAAGTGAGGTCTCACCAGTGTTCTGCACAGTGGTATGAGCACTTACCTCTTTCTACTGCTGATACCTCTCCCTATACAAACAAGCTTTCTGCTATCATTTCCTGCTGCTCTATTACATTGTCTGCCTACCTTTAAGTCATCAGAAACAATCACCCCTAAATCCCTTTCCTCAGATGTTGAGATTAGGATTCTATCAATTATTCTGTACTCTGCCCTTGGGTTTTCACATCCAAGATGCATTATCTTGCACTTATCCACATTAAAAGTCAGTTACCACAACTCTGACCATTTTTCTTGTTTACCTAAATCATTTGCCATTTAGCTTATGCCTCCTGGAACATCATGAAGGACGTCTTCTGTCTTAAGGTAAAAAGGCCTTTTCTTCCATTTGCTGCTATTTGGACTGACTTATCCAATATATGGAATATTCATTATCCGAATTGGAGAGAAATAGCTGAGAATTGTTTTATTATTGGACACCTTGGAAAATGTTGGTCTATGTTTAAGAGCAAGATGGGAGGAAAGAATAAAATTATTAATAGCCTTAGTATTAAGGCTCTGGAAAATAATAAACAGGACCTATCATTAACTACGTGGAAGAGCTGCGGTATTGAGAAGGTCTCAGATTTATATAAGGAAGGGTTGATGAAAACCTTTCCAAACTTGAATTCAGAATAGGATCTGCCTTGTAAGGAGGTGTTTTCCTATCTTAGGGTAAAAGGTTTTTTTACAAAATTCTCTTTTGAAAGGAGAGGATCAAGTAATGACTATTCTAAATAAAATATTTTGTGAACATATAACTCCCAAGGTAATGGCCAAATCATATGCTTTAATATCATGTCTAACAGTAGGTGTGAAAAATAAGTATATGAATAAATGGTCTGAACTATTACAGACTCATATCTACGAGAAAGATTGGCTAGCGGCAATAAGGAGATTCAGTCGAGACATACACAGTTTGAATATAATGGAGAATCAATACAAAGTGATACATTTTTGGTATCTGGACCCTAAAAAAATATCTAAGTTCTCCTATAATAAAGATAACAAATGTTGGAGGTGTGACAAAGATGAGGCAGACTATATACATATGTGGTGGAAATGTGAAGTAGCAGCTAAATTATGGGACATGACTTATGAAAAGCTGCAGGTTCTAGGGAAATTTAAAATAGATAAAAGAATTGAAATAGCAATATTACATCTTGACTGGCTGGATTTACACCCTAGACAAGCCTTAATGCTAACTCACTTCTTTTCAGCCACAAAACTACTATTGGCCAGAAATTGGAAACTGGATGTTTCTGTTAGCTGGCCAATATTAAAAAAGCAAATTGTATTCCAGTGCAAAATGGAACAGGGCCTTAAGTGGATCAATAAAAAGGCTGAGCAGAATAGTAGGTGGATAGCTGAATGGATAGATAAACTGATTGATCTTGAATGAACAGGATATCAGTAGTAAGATATACTATATTTTATAGTTAAAAAACTTCTAAATCCAATTAATCAGTATATACTCTCTTGGTTTCTTCCTTTTAAGGTATAATTTAATGTGCTTCCTATAAGATGAAAGATATGGGGTTTTTTTTTTTTTTTTGAAGGATAAATCCTAAGATGACTGGTGTAATGTTATGTCAGTTTGTGTAGTGTTTGTGATATTGGTCTTTGTGTTTTTGTTTTTCTGATATTTTAGACCTATTCGTTGTTTGGAGGAATTTGGACGTTAATTTTTGCAATGTGATTGGCAGGGTCTATTAATATTTATTGTATATGTTTGTAATGTATTGTGTTTACAAATTATAATGAAATAAAAAGTATTTAAACAAAAAAAAAAGAATTGGAAAGGCAGGACACATGGGCTTGCTTTAGAAGCATAGTATGCTCCCCACAAATGTATCCTTATGGCTCTTCTAGCAGCTTTGGAAAGAGCCATACCCTTGGCCATGATATTGGTAAGGTCTAGTAAGGCATCTGCACAGAAGACTGTTGACAGTCTCATTTATTTTAGGGGGTGTAAAAGATTTTCTCTCCACTTCCAATATCTTAGTTATCTATCTACACCTTTATGGCTCTTAACAGTAACAGTATTCATCCCCACAGCCAGGTGTAGGCCTGAACCAAGTGGCACATCTGATTTAGCCAGGTTGGAGTTTTTAATTTTCTTCATAGGTTCTCATAGGTAAGACATACTGAAAATGGGCAGAGTGAGGTAACAATTTTTGGTACCATGTTCCAGCTCTTTATTATAAGGATAGACTCTTGTCAATTTTCTCTCTAGAGATAATCTATTTTCTGCTTTGGATCATGCATTAGGAATCAAGTCCCTGATGGTACCATGTAAGGCAATGGATGGCCTGTTGGATTTTAGGTCCTTAAAATATATGTAAGAGGCTTGATCTCTGTTCATTCTTCTTGTATGTTAAGAGTCTCCCCTACTAACGCTATCAATTTCTCAACTGAACTGGACTTAATAGATTTTTTCCAATTTTCGATTTCATCTTTTCCTGAAAAATCTTCTTGTAAGACCTCTAGGACTGACTAGACTGAGAAGATACTTCTATAGACCTGGGTTTCTTTAGTTGTTTTAGCTGAAATAAATTGATAACCCTCTGCGATAGCTTGAGCGATTCTCTCTGGTGAGATTTCCTGGAAGAGCTTCTCTCAGCCTCTTTTTCCATAAATGCCATATATGAGAAGCATAGGTTTTTGCTCAATGGGGCTTTCTGGTTGGAGGCTTAAGAAACAGAACAGGAAAACCCAAGTGCCATGGGAGAAGGAAGAACAGCCAGGTTGTGCAGATTACAAGATAAGTAGCCTCCTTAAGGCAAAAGATATAAGGCAAAAATAGGAAGGCCCCTACCACTGCCACCAGGGGAAAAGGGGAGAACCATAAAGGAGATGGACATAGCCCTCCCAGCTGCAAGTTAGAAGTAAAGTATAACTCGTAAGGTTCCCCATAGTAGTTACAGATATAAGCTGAAATTTGGCCTAGATCGTACTGCCCCAGCAGGCTCTTTACTAGACCCTTCAGAGAAAGGAGATGCTGAACTTTCTAGTAGAACTATGTTAAACATGGTAAGGTGAGACAAAAATAAAAGTATATAAAAGAGAACCTTTCACTTTGCCTGTCATCTGAGGACAAGGGAAAAGGGGAGAACTGGAAGGGTTGGAAAGCTTATATGTGTTTAATTATTTAAATAGTTCCTGTCCTGACACTTGAGAGGCAGAGCTAACCCATAAGTAATGCTCTTATGGTTAGCCAGGTTAGTTTTTTATGCTTATTGTTGCAATCAAAATTGCAAATAAAAGTTATATTTAAAAGTTCTTATATATTTTCTTCATTTTAATATTTTAAAACATCATCCATATGTATATGTTCTTATTCTGAGTGTGCTTGTTCCATACATACATTGTTATACATTTCTTCTTAAATATTTGTACTTTATTAATTTTTCATATAGGGAAAAGCAGGAACAGCTGGGGGCATGTCTTGCCCACCATCTTAGATGACCACCTTTTAGAGAAGCTCCAGGAACATTGGGACATTAAGGTACCTAATTTGACATATACAACTTTAATTGACTGGATCTGAATATCACTAATGGTTTATGAAACTTCAATTAAGATGCAGAACCAGAAGATATTGGAAAAGTCCATGTCTACATTAAAGAAAAGGGATGGGAATGTTGCGGGGGTGAATAGGAGCAAGCAGACCCACTTAACATCACCACAGCTTATTTGACCACCTAGCTTGGTTTTGGGCCCCCCAGTGCTCAAAAACCCTCCTTCCCATCCACAAGACCCAAACTGCCTCTGCCGTGGCCGCAGTCTGCTCGCATCACTGTAGCAGCGACGGGACTACGATCGCAAGTGCAGCAAAGACTTTCCCACGAGCAGCCCAGTGTGCAGAGAAATGCGGCGACATGTTAGAGCTTATAAAAGCGATCGGGCTGCTGAGATTGGGCTGTCTGTCCCGGTGGGAGGATCCTTGGCCCCCACTCACGTAAGTACCAAAGTGCCACAATATGTAAGTGGCTAACAGGGGGCATCTGACAACCCTGAAGACATAAAGACAGACAATGAGGGGGATACCCCCAATATAATAAATAGGCAAGAGCAGTCACACACATTAAAAAATGTTGCCACCATCAAGATGGCCACCTCTACTAAAGTTGCTACTGCCACCACCAAAATGGCTACTGCCACATCCAAGACGGCTACTGCCACATCCAAGATGGCTACCACAAATATTGAAACAAGCATTTCTAGTACAGCAGCTGCATATAATCCCAATATGCCACCTGAGATGGCTTCAGGTTTACCAGCTTCAGCAGACATGCTGATTGACCTCATTAAAAATCTAAGAATAGAAATTAGAAATGATTTAAAAAAGATTTTGATGCTATATATGGATTTTTGGGAGGATATCAACTCACGAACAGAAGATGTGGAAAATAGGCTTTATTACCAGGAACAGTCGCACTTAGAGTTAGAGGAGAATGTCAATAGTCTACAAAAATAGCTCAACCAACAGGTGGAAAAATCAATCGATGCAGAAGATAGAACTAAGCGAAATAACCTAGGTACTAGGGGAATGCCTGATTCCATTGATAATGTGGAATTACCTACCTATTTTCAAACCATGGTAAAGAAGGTCAATCCCAACGCCACAAATTCCGATCTGATTTTGGACTGCAGCGGCTCCCAGGTATGTTATAGTTCTGTTTCATTACTATCATGTCAAGGAGGAATTCCTGGGAGCCACACGTATGTCTGGAGGAGGTCTACAACAATATAAAGATCTTCACAGACTTTTCAGCGCACATGATGAAAAAACGTAGAGAGTTCCAGTCCTTCACATCTGAACTTCGTCACAGAAACATTCGATAAAGATGGGGTTTCCCCGTCAAAGTATTGTTTCAGATGGATGGCCAAAACTATATTTTCACCTCTCCAGAAGAGGGTATGGAACTATTACAACATATGAACAGGCGAACCTCAGCTCCATCCCATACGCTATCCCCATCTACACCTGTACCTTCCAGTAAAAGAAGCAAGACTGGTGCCTTTGAAGAACCTTGATTTCTGAGTCTTGTCTGCAGTTCCTGGTTTCCACTATGAGTAGGCGGGATTACTTATGACTTCCTGCTCTTGTTCTGAGGCTTCAGAACATGTTTCCAGGTGACAGTTTTTGATTTCTGAACACTCTTTGCTCGTCTACTGGTTCCTGTTCCTTGGAATTTGTTATGGTGATTTGTTCTTCAGATCCTGTTTCCTGTCTTCAGGTCCTGACTCTGGACTAGTTTGTTTGTATTATATACATTGCATTTACTTTTTGATATCCCTTTTTGTGCTGTGATTTTTTACCTTTTCCTTTTCCTTTTTCAAAATTTTTATCTTTAATTATTATTCAATTTTTTTTATTAATCTTATGTTTCTTCTTTTTTTTTCTATACTGTATTTTATTATTGCTTAATGCATTTTATATTTTGCTTTTGACTTTTTCCTATTTTTTTTTTATTAATAACATCCCATTCATAACTTAACATTATTTTTTTTTTGCTTTTTATTTACTTTTCATAACGCCCAAAGTCCCTGGTCTTCTCACCCCCAACCTAGGCCTGTAAAAAAAAGGTGACATTTTTTTACTTCTCCTCTCATGGACTTATTTTTTATATATACTTTTATACTATTTCTAATTTTATATTTTTTGCCCCTATTTTTTTTAAATAGATTTCTCAGGGCTTATTTGACTGTTGGTGTGTAGAACATGAAGGAGAGAAAGATTATACCTACCACTCAGCAGCTTTTAACATGTATTGAGAATACCATACCCCTTGTTTCACGCTCTGATATTTCAGGCATTACTTGGTCCAATCATGCCCCAATAACGATGTGTATAGAGGAGTCTTACCAGTTGAACCCCAAAAAACCTGAGGGAAGTTCTGTCATGCTTTAAAATCCCAGACCCCTTTATCAACGTTGTGTTTGCACTATATTGTCAACCAACTGCCAGAGTATCTGTGACTGGTTTTGTTTCCGAAACTTTTCCGATGGGACGAGACAGGGGTGTCCATTGTCTCCACTCCTGTTTGTGCTGGCAATGGAACAATTGGCTGAGATGATATGATGCAGAGCAGATATTGAAGACATTGTAGTAGGGGATAAGGAACATAAAATAGGCCTTTTTGCTGACGACATGATGTTAAAAATCCTATAAATTTGCTTATTCCATTGATGTTGATTCTGCAGGAATTTGGTAACATTTCATTTTACAAACCAAATACTGTTAAAACTCAAGCTCCCCCTTTCTTCATACCTTTGTATGATTTAGATATTCTAAAAAATTGGTTTGACTTCGATTGGAGAGACTCTTATATCTCTTATCTGGGCATTAACCTATGCAAAAACTTGTCCAAGATGCATTCTTGTAACCTGGTTAAGGTTTGCTCCAATTTTAGGAATGACCTTGAGAGGTGGTGTAGTCTTGAGTTCTTTTTGGTTATGTAGGGTTAATTCTGTGAAAATGACTCTCCTTCCTAATGTGTTATATTTTCTTAGAGCCATCCACCTTTTGATCCCTTTATCTTTTTTTCGAAAAGTACTTTCTGCTTTCTTGAAACTTATCTGGAATAGAAAACCAACCAGGATTAAATTATCCATACTTCAACAGCTCAGGACTAGTGTGGGTGTAGGTTTGCTAGACTTTATTCATTATTATTATTATGCTACAAATGCAGCGATTGCACTGAATTCAACCAAGAGCATGACCGTCCTCTTTGGCTTTAGATGGAAGCTAGCAAACTCTCACCCCATTCAATTAAAGATGTGTTATGGTTTCTTCCATCTCAGCGCACAAGATTGGTGGACATGTTTCAAACGACCAAAACAACTATTAAAGCTTGGAATATATTGTATCGGAAAATTCATCCTTCTGCTGTCTGGTCTAGAGTCACTCCTCTAGCTGTATTAAAATTAGTTATACCTGAATTAGATGTAGAATATTGGTCCACTCATTCTATTCATTGTATTAACAATTTATTTTTATCCTCTACTTTTTTAACATTTGAACATCTCCAAAGTAAATTTAAACTAATCATTTTGGACGCCCTTGCACATGCGAGTTTGGTTAAAAAAATGAGCGGACATTTTGGGATTTCTGACCAGAATTGTCAAATTTAGAAAGGGTTTACTGATCCTGTCCGGAAACTAACCATATCCATGTGCTATGCTTTTTTTTCAGGTGAAGTAGGCATGAAATTGCCATACATGACAAAGAGGGAGAGTGATCTGGGTGAGGTACTCACAGTGGAAGACTGGCATGCATTACTACTTGCATTGAAGGGTATCACACTCTGTATAAGT